AATATTTTTTGTAAAAATATCATGAAAAAATAATGAGAATGATAATGCTTGGATGGATAAGTGAAGTGACAAGAAAAGATAGAAAAAGAAACTAATATGTGAGAGGTAGATTGGTATAGAGTCGATAGTGGACAATATGAGAGAAAATAAATCCGAGATGTTTTAAACATGTGTTGAGGTAAGAGGAAACAAAAACAGTAAGAGTGGTCATGAAAATGAACGCTTAAGAAAAAAAGAGGAAGAGGAAGACTAAAAAAGAGATGGTTGGATACGATTGAAAATGATATGAAGGCTGTTGAAGTATGCGTAGGGGATGTAGAAAATTGAAAAGAGTGGAGGTTTAGGACAAAAGTAGCCGACCCAAAATAGTTTGGGAGAAAGGCCAGGGAGAAGATGGTTATACAATTAGTTACAAATTGTAAGCAAAACAAATAATATTAACGAGTATTATTAATTTAAGTAGTGACTATTCAGATAAAATAAGTATGTTTTAAAAAGAAAATCATGTCTCACATGTGAAAAAGAGCTGAATGAAAATGAATGAGTAGCTAAAGGCATCCAATTTAATTTATCGTTCAAATATAAGTTAACATTCATATAATTAGAGTTTTAAGAATTTGCTGTATTTATTTGTTATAAAAATACATTATTCAATACAAGTATCAATGAAGATAAAACGTGAATTAAGTATAATTTATAAAATAAAAACGTCACCTCTCTACTCGTATGTGCAGTTTTGTGTTAAAATCTGTAAATCACGACAACGCGTGTGTGTGCACAAAATAAACCCTGGAGCAAGTCATGCTCTAGTCTAATTATTATGTTTTTTTTTAGTGGACTGTATTTAAACTGGATTTTGAATAACTATAAATTCTCAATTTTGAATAAATGTAAGTCTCGAAGATAATTATGTATCGAGAAACACTAGGGTTTAGCCAAAACTAATTTATCAAACACGTCAAAAACTTCAGTAAAACATCCACTACCATAGGGGAAGTTATGTATATTAAATTTAAGAGTGTTTGAATACAATATTTAACCCATACGAGAAAAATGTATAATGAAAAGAACAGAGTCAACATACACTTGGACCACGTTGGACTCAAAACGACAACTCATGCTAAAACAATGCAACATTTTCTACCAATGTTACACATGTTAAGCACTATACACGAATGTTCGATTGTTTTTGTCGATGATGTAGTAAAAACATAATACAGAACCACCGAAAAAATATAAATAAATATCATTAAAAATGAAACCGTTATAAGAAAATAGAAATTTCACCGTGATACTCGTGTTAATAATAATGATTAATCATTAGCAATAATTAATAAATTATAACAATATTAATATACATCGACAATTTTGTCACCAAAATAATTGTGCTTCATGGTTTTTAAGATTTCTCTCTATATTTCAGTGATAATAAACACGAAGTATGAAATGTGTACAACTTTTTATTTTGCTATGATATAGAAATAACTACGATTAATGAAAAATTAAATTATGTAATTTATGATTAAATATAGTAAAATAATAGTAATAAATGTATTAGAACAATAGTAATATACTTTTATTATTATAAAATTTGAGTTATTGCGTCTTAAGTTAACACTTAGTATCTATTATAATTTATTATCTGTCTGTCATACATACATACATTACGTAATATTTCATACTTCGAATTTAAAAAGGTAACTTGTCAATTTTGTATTTAATCATTAGCAGATTTAGCTAAAAATTGTATTGATCAAAGTATTCTATATTATTATTGTTCACATTATTTTTCAGTACACTTTTAAATCAACTATACTCGAATAATATAATGATGAAATTTCATTTATTTACTTTTATTTATTTACTATTAAACGGATACATCTAAATTATCCATAAATAAATAATAATTGTATTTTTATTCTATAGTTTATATAATACATTGTTATGTTTAAAAATCAAAACCATACAATGAATCATAACTTTTAAAATAAACATGTAATACATTAATTTTATATTCAACTCGCAGCAATGAAAGCAGAATCAACGAACTAGTTCTCTAACTACCATCCTTGGTACCATGGGTGCTTATATTTAACAAAAAACCAATTCTAAATTAACTCAAATTCTCAAGTTTATAAGAACTATACATAAACTATAATAGTTGTATTACTATAAATCTTTATTATGATAAATTTTGGTAAACTTTCACAGTCAAATCATTTCTCGGAAGCAGTTTGGTAGTTAGGTGTAAAAAAAATAGACCGTTGAATCGGATGAGTATAATTTTCTACGATACCTTTCATTCGATACGGAATTACTCGCAGTGGCGAGTGGAACGACCTGAACTGTCGTATCAAAACGTAAAATTTACGGTTTTCAAAAAAACGCATTTTACTTTTATCAACAACAATCGTCTGTAATTGTTTTTTCTGTATAAAACGATGTATTATCACACTAATAACTAATAACTAATAGCGTATGTATGTTAGATTGGTAAATTAACTTAGAACATTTTTAATTCAAACTAAATCGAATCGAAAACCTTACCGTTACTACATTTTTGCATTTATATTAAACAAGTGTCATGTAAACTATCGACATTTTACTTACAACAATGCGTTTTTAAAATACATGACTTATAATTTTAAATTAAAAATATAATGAACTTTCCCAAAATTACATAAATCATTGCACTTTTTAAATTCTGGGAAAAATATAAAAAGAATAGTTGGAGCAGGATTCAATATTAAAAAATAAACTACCAACATATATATACATACATATATATATATATATATATTTTTTTTTTGCTGAGTCACGTTTTGTCATTTAAAATTGTTCATCAATGAAGATCTAACAAGACAACCATCACACGATTACTTCGATGATTGAGATAATGACATGTATTTTTAATAATAACCTTATTCATAATATTTTTCCATATTTTCGATAATTTAAAATAGAATTACCTATCATTACTATCAAAAAAAATTTGGTAATTCAAAATTAATTTAACATTTTTACAGTTGTATAATAAAATATAATTTATGGAAATGGAATATTATATTATAAAATATAATGGACAAGTTTAAAGAAATATTGACAGTAAATAACTGTAATATTTAAATTTATTATTGTTTTAATTGAAAGTAATTGAATTGCCAAGCTGCATTGCATAAAATCATTGGACATAATCAATTAAAAATAATTACAATTAAGTACGAGTTTGCTATACATTTGTAAACAGATTATAATTCAAGTACATTTGAAGTATATTTATATCGATAGTCAAAGAAGCGCTGGTATGTTGATAATGTATGCAATTGCACATGTATGAAAAATGCTGCCTTAGCTGAATTACATTTTTAATAGCAAACAAATTATATCTTCCAGGCTAAACATTAAAATAACTAATATTGTATACGATTTCAATTGTTATTTTACATCTATCTTCCTGGTACCATAACTTTATAATAATTAAGGTCAATAAATCATAAATGTTCATTATATTATCTTAGTGAATAAATACATTATTTTATGAGTATTAGAAGGGAATACCTGTCTCCCTGTGGTTTTTGTACTCTGTGTAGAAAAACTTACACCTTACATCGAGGATAAAGAATACAGCCACATAAAATATACGTAATATAAATAGAACAATTTAACTGGTTTGGATTCATTAAAGTAATCATCAAGTATAAAACGTCAGAAACATATACGTACCTAGTCATTATTAAAAAAATATTTAAACACCTTCGGCGATAATTTACTTTCAAGAACTTTTCCATTATTATTATCTAATTGACGACATACACAATAGGTCGCTACCCATTGTGGATGTAAACCACAAATAATATTAAGGAAGGAGCTCTAGCATATTTAGCAATCAAAAAAATATTCATTATACTTAAATTAGTATCTAAAAAGAGTGATTATTATTAGTTTATAATGCAAAAAAAATTAAATATTAATAACTAATGACCTAACCTAATTGTAAAATATATATCAAATATATTTATTTCTGTTGTGACCCTAAGTACTTTGCTGAAATTTAGGTACATAAAATAGTTATTGTCATAGGTATAAGCAAACAAACAATATAAGAAATGTGTTATAAACCGTAATTGATTGGGTGCTAAACATAAAAGATAAATTGTAGGCATACTACCATTAATTTATCTCTTAATTATTAGCATACCAAAATAATAATTACTAAATATGCCAGCAATCTATTGAATAATATTTTTACGAAAATACCGTTGTTTATAACAATCATTAATTATTCAAAGTTCAATCTATAATGATCTAATGGTAAATACTCAATAATATAGTCTTTAAAATAACCAACAGTTGTTCTACAGTCAATGGTTTCTATTTAAAACCTTAATCGTATTATCATTGTTAAATTATTATAATCATGTTCGATTTTTGACACGATGTGCGGCTAAATGCAATAACATTATGAACTCTTATTATGTTTTCAGTATTGACGTTACACTATAAGTAAAATAGAGGAATAGAAACAAGCGTATTTATATAATAGTAATATTATTATTATACTTTTTCCGACGTGACGGCGTTGTTATTATAAAGAGACTTTAACAGTAGTCAATGATCTGACATACAAATATAATTATATTATACTTGCATAACACCACCTATTAACCACGAAGAAAGTAATTTTCTGATATTTTGTATATTTTTTAGCGTATTATCATTTCGAATAAATTATTTATGGTTAATTGTTATCAGTGCCGTATCCAGGGTAAATTTGACTTCCAGGGATAATAAAAACGGAACGCCCTTTAGTACGGGGTATACTAATGATTTTTTTTTAATTTTTCACTAACTTAAGAACACCCTTATATCAACAACACCCGGAGCAAGCGTACCCACTTGCACCCCCTTCCGACATATATATGGCACTATTATTGAATCATAACCACCATAACCCATCGAAACCTATACGTATATAAATTATTCATACACGTTTCATTTACCTTTGGTGCGTATTCGACGGAGAGTGAAAAAAAAATAATCAAAAAAAATCGATAAAACAGATATATTCACGTCACTTATCCGATAACTGTCGTTTCCGGTGCATACCGACGAACGAGTTCTCACTCCCGGGTTTGGAAAACCAACGCACACGCGCACACACACTGTGTACAAAAAGGGTTAACGGTATAGTGGAACCGCGGAAATACGATAAACAAACAAGTACGCGCGCGCGTGGTACGAACGGACGCGAACAACACCCGGGAGAACCGACTAGCGACGACTGCCGTGTGTGCAGTGCGCCGGCGGAGTTCCGCTGGTCACAAACCAGAACCAGTTTCCTCTACCCGCAATCGAATTCCCAACAGCGCTGGCGCGCGCGTTCCGAGTTCATGTGCGCGTGTGTGTTCAAGGTCTGCGACTCGCCATTTTTCTTGTATGCTACATTATCTACTAGGAATAGGGTCATTCCAATGGTCGTGTCTCGTAGTTATTACTATTATTATTATTATTATTATTATGATTATTTTTTTAATTTTTTTTTTCTTTTGATAATTCTTTCCGCGGTTCCCGATTTATTTTTATTTATTATTACGATTATTTTATTTTTTTTTTTATTTTTTTCATAATTCCTTCGAAGATTCCCGATTCGGATGTTATGGAAGTGGACAAATTTTAGTAAACGCGAAGAGGTCACAAATCGACAAGTGTTTTTTATGTTAAACGAAAATAATATACATATATTATACAGGTATAAATGACGATTCCGTTTTGTATTTTTTTTTTCTCTCGAATGACCGCCGAATAGTGAATTTTAATTAACATTGCTTGGACACGAAATAACTGTAAAACTCAAAAAGTCATGCGATTTACACCGCATAAAATGTACATTATCTTTTCATTAAAACTTTAAAATTGTACACGTCCGTCACGATGTATCGAACCCGCGATTATGTAATTTATTTCGGTTATAATGCTAGCACCTGACGGGAAAAACAAGGATAAGACCGAGATATTTACGGTGTTATTGATCTTTTAATAGTTGAATATTGCTTATGAATGTGATGACGAATATAAAGGAGAGTAATCCACTTAATCACTTGCTTGTCAGATGAAATATTATATAATAAAATAATAAAAAATTAAATAAAAATTAAAAATTAGTAAATAGTTAATACTTGTAAATGAATATATAGTTCAATAAACAAATAGTTTATACATAGAAATTAATAAATAAATATCTGGAATGTTTTTATATTAAAAAAGTACTTTGTATTAATTTATTTCTATGTATAAACTATTTGTTTAATCATTAATATATTAGATACTATACGCAATGGAACTAAACCGATACAGATACCTTAAATGATTTTTTTTTTTTTTAACTAGAAACGAAACAAATTTGTTGCGAAACATCAAAATCAAAGAAACGAAATACATCCAATAAACTCAGTAAACAAACGTATCGACATTTAAAAATAATGTCACAGGTCATAGCGTTCAGCAATTAGTATCTATAACAAATAAAAAATACGGAGTACATATAAATTAAATATTTTTTACGTGCAAGAACAGAAACAATGCACATAAATAATTCGGATTGCTACAAAATATTATTAAATACGAAATAGATATATTAGAAAAAATTGAGTGCATTCAAATAATGAGTTTATATAGTTGAGTCTTGCTGGTCCGGACTAAATAGGACCGGACTCTATCCGGATTATTGAAAATCTTGATTAAACGGAATGAATTTGTTTTAACTTACTGATAATTTTTTTTTTTTTTTAAAAAAATAATAATACCTTAATTTTAAAAATTCAAAATATTTACGTTCAATGGTCTACACGAAATACAAAAACATCACTTAACGAAACAACGAATGAACTAATTAACTGAAATGCGAAACGATAATAATATGTAATCGAAACGATGAAATCTTAATTAACTACATGCATAAATACTTCCCGAATAATTCCAATTTCATAGAGCTACCTACAATTATACTATAAATACATTAATAACCTAAAAATAAATATATAGTATGTAGTATATATACCCTATGGCTGGGGATGGCTAACTATTGATCAATTTATGAGTTTTTTTAGGTTGTCATGATTCGACAAAAAAAAGCTTGTAATTGTGCAAAAATATATTTTATATACTAATATGTTAAACTTTCTTTCTTTCTTCTATTTAAAATATAAATAAATAAAAAACAGTTTTTAATTTTACAATTTTAAATACAACATATTTTATTTTATATGAATTTATTCGAACGCTATAAAAACTATTATTTAATAATGAATAGCTATTATATCAGTGTATAATTTCGTTTTTAATAGTTATTTATTACTACCTATTGTTTATATCAGTGGTCAGCTACCTTTATGGATCCTTTGGACACATTCACAAATTAAAAAGGATTCACAGCCCAGACAATACACGAAATTGATATGATATTCAATGACATTTTCTTTTTTTTTTTTTTTAACTTAATTCTTTATTTAGCAATCTGTTACAAATTAGAACAATAAGCTTATTTGATATAATAATAAAACAAAACAGGAATGACGGAGTGAAGAGACCTCCCATTGGAGGTACTTCGTCAGGAAAGTAGTTAATCTATATTACACGTTTATATACAATTTATCACAGCAGGTCACGACACCACTGTCGTTTTAATCTTCTTTGAGGGTTGCCTGGAATAGTTGCGGATGAGAGTTAAGTAATAAGAGGGTTTGGATGTTGACACAATGACATTTTTTAGTTTTGATTTAATGCAGGCCGTATAAAAGAGACGTGCAGGCCGCCATTTGCCAACCACTGGTATATATAATACACAAATTATAAAAAAAAAAATTTTAATTAGTTTTCTGAAAAAAATTTAAAAAAAAAAAAAAATGAATGGAAGTCACAATCGACCTGTTTGTCACCCCTACCCTATAGAAATATAAATGATTTAACTAATATTGTGCACGCGTTGAATCACAATTCTGCAGCCGCCACAGCCGACCGACCCCCTTAGGAACCGGTTGTTGGAACAGTTTGACGCGGGTCGCGGGCGGTTGAGTAATCCAAAATCCTTTTCTATGCGGCACCGCGGTACAGAAGTGACGTTACTGCATTATGCCGTCGGTTTACGCGGTATTACCACAGAATAAAAAACCAACGGTAGCTGTACGTACCGGTAACCGTGCGCGACGTGCGCGCTGCACCGTAACGATGACGCCGTGACCTTTGGTATGCGACGGTGACGAGCGGCCGACTACGTGTACATGCGTTACATTACAGAACGTACTTCGCGACTGACGATCGGCTTGACGTCGTAACAACGCGGCAGTGCGCTTCGTTCGACCTCTGAACGTGCAATCGCACCGGTAAATGGTCCAAAGACGTGGGCGACGGTGCAATCACACCCCCTACGAACAATCTATCCAGTGGCGCAACGGCTGGGGTGGATAGTGATGTTTAACATCGGCGAGGACTCGAGACTCAAACGAAGCCCTATAATAGGCGTGAACTTGGAAGACATTTTTAACGGGAAAAAATTGAGTAGCACGTTAAATGATAAATTAGTTAGTTTGTCTGTATTGGAAGAAGTTTCACGGGCGACCCTCGGGAGATGTGAAAACACTTACATATGAGCTTAGAACTGTGCATTTACTATGTAGAATTTGAAGTAAATATTCTTAATTTAAAACACGTGTTTTCGTGTTATTTGTAAGATGGGATTGAAAAGGTAACACTCGAAAATTTACACTGTCCAAGCGAAAAAATATGAACACCGTATAAGATGTTTTCACATAAAATAAAAATATTTTTTCATGAATAATTAAAATGCAACAGGGCCTCAGATTTACCTTATTATCAGGGCCTCAAAATCTACCCCTTCCGCTATCCACTGGAACAAGCCCGGATTATGATAATTTGGGGCTCGGGGCTAAACAATTTTAGGGGCCCATAACCAAAATCAAAATATTGGTGATCCGCACACAAATATATTTCAGAGACAAAAAAATATTAAATTCTAATTTATAAATTTATTTCTTTGTTTTTTAAATACAAAAATAAAAATGTTATTTGTATAAATAATTTTTTCTTGCTTTTGGAAAGCAAACCCTTTAATTAAATCATCGGTTTTAATTACTTCCAAAACATCACTCTCTGAACATAAAACCATAAAACTATTTAAATTTTCTTGAGATCTGTTCGTTCTATACTTTTTTTTCTATATGAGCTAAAAAAAGAGTTAAAGAAAACGAAAAAACCTACTATCCGCCAAGGGCCCACTATTGTTTGATATCCATTGTGGGCCCGGGGCCATGGCCCTCTTTTAATTGGTCTCTTGAATTTTTGAATTTGAATCAATGGCAGATGTGCCAATTTCTTATGCATTTCTTAATTGTTTTGAGTTTATTGATAGGTCAATAGCACAATTACAATTTTGAGGTCCAGGTGCAAGAACATTTTAGAGTCCCTTCATTATTCCTTAATCAGGTTAAATACACCTTAGGAATATAGAAAATTATATAAAAGAAATATATTGATTTACCTCACAGTTCAGGTTTTAACGATAGTACAACACTGCATTTGAAATCATGCGGAACCGTGTTTATATAATATATGTATGAAATTTGCGGAATCCGAGATTCCCAACACAAATATTTTAAGGCCGGCACCTGCAGTAGTTGCGGCACTGGGTAAGAATAGCATTGATTAAATATACTATAATGTATGCTAAATCAATTAAGTAGGTACTTAGTAATTAGAGTAGAAGTTTTCAGTAACTAAAAAAAAAGTGCAAATATATCTATACATGGTTATTTTGATCACAAAATATTGCGTTCATTTCAGATAACAACAATTTTAAAAATTATTTTTGTTAATTGCAACTGTTGATTTAATTACCATTTTTATAAAGAACTCTAAACCGTTTTCAAAACAAATAGATTTCAAACAGTCAGTAGTTTATTATTTGCACAATTTTTAAACTTAAAAACCAAAAAACGTTTACACAACTATATAGGTATGCAATTTATATTCATAGGGTATATTAGAAAAAAACTGAATTATAAATATTCCAAATAATATTAAATATATATAAATAAAATATATATAAAATAATAATTCCAAATAATTTATGTACATGTATAGTTTTAGATAATTCAATTTTCAGTTTCCGTGGCCATATATTTTAACAAAATCAGGAAGTTTATAATGCCTAAATATATTAATCTTCAAACAATAAGATAAAATAAAATGGAAAAATGTATATTTGTTTTAGTAAACAGACACAATTTGGTTCTATATTATTAAATTTTCCCAGAAGGAAATGTGTTGTTTGTAGAAAAAAAATTAATAATTATAAATATATAAACATTTAACAGTTTTATAGATATTGAATGAACATTTATTAATATTATCCTTACACAAAAATAATAATATAACTCTTAATAACATGTATTTATTTTAGATCCAAAATCACAATGATTTATAAACACACCTATATTAAATAATTCATATTGAAAGCACTCAGTATTTTGTTTCGTAAAATTAAAAATTATTTAAATGTTTACTTATGAATTATGTAATAATTTTCATTCTTTCACTTAAATTTTTAATTAAGTAACATATAAAATTACAATCATTATTCAAAAATAGTAAAATTATTCATATAACATAATACACAACAGTAAAATAAAAATAATAAATTTTATTTAAATACTATATATGATCATAAATTAACTAAAATCCAAACAAATCTCTGAAAAAAACTAACAATGCTTTTATCTTTTTTCAAAGTGCCAATTCTATAAAATAATATCAAAAATTGTAACCATCTATAGTCTTCAAATTTGACACTTTTATAAAGATTTAATACTTATATAACTATTATATAAATAACATTACTCTTAATGTTTTCTAAACATTAAAATAAATAGCACCTAAAAATTGAGATTTTTGTATTTAACTAAGTCCAAAAAATCATTTTGAGCATAAAATTTTTTTCGTAACATTTTAGGTAACAAATAGATAATGGTAGATACAGATGATTAGTCTAAGATCTCAACTAAACAAATTCTTTCTTTTACACTGTATTTGGAGCTAAGATTGAAGGTTGATAAAACTGCTAAACAAAACAGTTATTTTAACAATAATTTAAAAAAATAAACAAAATAATAAAACAATCACAATAAGAACTTTCCACATTCATGAGTTGAGATTTTGGTGAAGATTCTGAATCGCCCACAGCAATATCACCATTTTCGAAGACAGGTTACCACAGACCATTTGGATTGCGGCCTACCAAAAAGCCAACGATTTTCATCATATTCGCAACATAAATAGAGCAACATTGGAAATATCATTTGATTTAGCGCCTTCAACAATACGCATTTTAGGAGACACTGGACTGCAAATGTTATATTTTAATTTTTGTTATTAAGCAAATACAAAAAAAATCACACAATATTCACACAGTTATAACAATATTAGTCATGTTTAATATAAAAATATTATAAATAACAATATACCTTAACGATTTGACCAATGATTCCATAATTGTGTTTATCTTGTCAAAATGTGGTCGGTTTTCTGGCTGATATTGCCAGCACTGTAACATGAGACGATAGATCTCTTCAGGTGTACCCTCAGGAGCTGGCATTCTATAGCCTAATAATACAATAAAATATTAAAAAAAATAATGACATTCTAAAAAGTGACAATCACTTTTTAGAAGAACAAACACTATATTCTAAAAAATAGCATATTAAATTTATTACCACTATCTATTTTTTCTCTAGCTTTTGAATTACTAAGACCACTATATGGTGTTCCACCTTTGGCAAATATCTCCCAACATAGCACACCATAACTCCAAACGTCACATAGCGTAGTATATTTACCTATACAAAAAAAAAAAAAAAAAAAAAATAGAAATATTTTCATTTTAACAATTAATTCTCTAAAATTTAACTTACCAAAATTTAGAGCTTCGGGAGCTGTCCATTTTATTGGAATTTGTTTCATACCATCTGAAACAATATACTCTTCTTCTTCTCTGGACATGCCAAAATCAGAAATCTTCACTATATTGTTATCATCTAACACAAATTAAAATAATTAATTGATTAGTATTGTAAATTGTAAATTTTTCTTATATATCATGTATAATATGTATATTGTAGAACAGAAATAGATCTTTAGAAATGTATGCAAACTATATTATACGGTGTTACACAATTAAACACTATTCATAATCAGTATTAAACACCTTATATCATGTTGTAAATAGAACATTTTGTTTATAAAATTTTTATACATACCAATTAAACAATTTCGAGCTGCGAGATCACGATGAATGCAGTTCTTACTCTCTAAGTACATCATACCAGCAGATGCATCACGACACATTGAGACCAATTGGAGAACAGTTAAGGTCTTAGAGTTATTCCTTAAATATGATAATAAAGACCCTCCTATAAATATGAAATACGTTAATTATTTAATGGCACAAATCCAACTAGAATAGTCTGAACATTTATATACATAAATACGTATTATATACAGTGAAACCTCGATTTATTGATATCTAGCTGCTAAAATAATATTTGTATTTTGTCAATAGACGATACTATTGTATAGCCAAATAAATTGCCATATATCCTTTATTATACATTATTCAAAAATAATTAACTATAAAATTATTTGCATTTAATATATTAATATCTCTTAAAAGATAAAAACAATTTAAGTTTACAAAAAAAAAAAAATTAAATAAATAAATGATTCTAAGCTTGTGAAAGAAATAATATATTTTGAAAATGTAAAATATATAATGTATATTACATTATTGCACTAGATTTGAATACATTTTCTAAAATAATAATAGACAGGAGATTAATAGTAATACACTTTTCGTTTCAAATAATTTTTAAAATTATAATTTTTAAAAATGAAAATAAAGCTTATGCTAATAAGTTTTTATTAAAAACAGTTGGATGCATTTATATAAGATACCAACCAGTTAGATTAATAAGAACAATATAAATTTGCATCGAGTATAATTTTTTTTCAATAAAATTATAAAATAATATAAGAACTTAAATAATTACTAAGATTTAATGTTATACTTAATAAAATAAAATTATCAATATATTTTAGACAAAAAAAGTCTTAATTATTAATCAATTAATAATATTTTATTAGTTATTATCAAAAAAGTAAGCCAAATAAATATTTTTAACATAAAATTCTACTTAACCCTTAAAATGTATACTTTAATTTGTTTAAATATTATCATTGTCCATTACAACTAATTTTTTCAGATTAAAAACTTATTTTTATCTATGAAGTGACTTAAATTTTAAATTCAAAATTATTGAATAGATAATTGTAATATTATAATTTAAAAAGAAATACTTGCCTGCGACTAGTTCCATGACTATCATAATCGGTTGTTTTTGTACACAGATACCGATTAATTTAACAACATTAGGATGATCATACTGTTTTAGAATACGACCTTCCTGCAGGAATTTTTTTTTGTGCTCATCGGGCACGGTAACTCGACATGTTTTTACTGCAACTTCTTTATTAGTAGATCGCAGTCTTGCTTTGTATACATCGCCAAAATTACCCTTGAATTATAAAATAAAATAACTTATCTGCAAATAAAAACCATGTAATTACATACTCTTCCAATTTTTTCAAGTAGCAACACATCATCATTATTCAATTCCCAGCGTTCTCTGGGTATTGGTTGTCGGAGTATAGCTCCTGAGCGACTAGTAACTGGTAATGCACTCTGATATTGATATGTGATAAGTTCTTGAATTGTAGGAAATGATGGTCCTTCAAAACGGAACTCACCCTGTATTAAGAAAAACTTTTTAAAATATACAACACTATACACTTTTTTTATAATTTTAATTTTGTAAATAAAAGTCTTACATCAGAAGTGGTTTGAACAATAAAATGTTTATGTCCACCCCAACAAACGGACAATACAGTCTGATTTTCATCGTTTCTAGTGGTTTCTCTCACTAAAAAATCACCTTCTTTAGTTAGTAGCCTAACAACTTCTTCTCTAGGCAATACTCCATGGAACCATTCTTCTTCAATTAATGATTTCACAGAAGATCCAATCTAAAGCATAAAAATAATTTAAGTATAGCTTATTCATTTTCTGTAGTTGATGTAATAATTATAATTCAATGTATAACAAATAAATTAAATATTTTACAAACACAACATTCAAGAACACTCGTCTAAGGTTAAGAACTTTTAACTCATTAATATTCAACTCATACTAATTGTTTAAATAACAATACCAATAATGTATGAAATACAATTTTATGAATTGGTATTCACAGCACACTGATTATTAATAATAAAAATAAATACATTATATAGACAAGCACGTAGGACATTATACAAAATGAGTATTAGTCATTCTTAAATATATAAGATTTACCTGAACTGATTAAGTGAATCATCAAAATTGTAAATAAAGTGTTCAAATAATCAGATATAGTTAAATTTCGTGTAATTATGTTAATAAAAGCTTACCACACAAGGCAAAGAGATGTTAGAATTGTTTTCAGCAATTGTTTGGTATGGTACAGGCGTGACTATCGGTCGCATATCAACAATAACCGATCCGTCATTTCCATCTAAACTGTCTGAGTGATAATGATTATTACTATCACTGTTTGAACCTACGCCTGAACTTGCTGTAGTTGTAGTTATGGCACTATGATTATTTTGCACTGAATTTGTATCCATTGACAAGTTACCATTTCCTGAATTTGGAACTGACTTGCGACGAAATGGTTTACGCAATATGTCTACCAAACTAGACGTAACTAGTGTAGTAGCTATAGTCATCATTGATGAAGCTTGACTAACGTTACCTAATGAAGGTCTTTTCAGAGTACCATCAACCTAAAAATTATGTAAGAATAAGTAAGAATACTGAATGGATTATATTATAAGATCTTTATTTTTAAATATAATTTACTTACAGTAATATCAATATCATTTATGTCTAAAGATGGAAGATCACAACCAGAAGGTAATTCTTCACAACCTATTTCAAAAAGTGCTTTTTTTATCACATCTAATTGTTTTTGTAGTCTATGTTCTTCACTTCTGAGTTCAATCAATTGTAATTCACTAAAATAAAAATATGTTTTTGTACAAAAACTGTCCTCTTCGCATGAAAAGATTGTTTCTTACTGTTAAATACAACATGAACACATAAGTGTATAAGTATTAATATATTTCAAGAACGAAGAGATATATGGCGAAAGTCCAATTGCCCACGCCATGTTTAAGTCATAAAAATTTTCTAAACAAAGTGGGAATTTTTGTGGGAAAACATAAGTATGATAAATAGAAGTTTTCGATCACATATTATTGGTATAAAATTGAAAATGATTCATATTGTTAAAAATTGTTGGTAATTTTTTTTATTTTCAAGATTACAAAGAACAAAGAAAAGGAAATTAATAAAAAATAGTACAACAATCGGGGTAAATAATAACCGTTGAAATTCATAGCTAATACATTTAACTTTATTAAAAAAAAATAAAAACCTCACGATATGATTGTTTTGAGTTTATAAACATAAATCTAATAATTCTTTATGCTAACCTTTAAAATAACAAACAGGTATGAAATTGTGTAGCCTGGAATTACTTGAGGTTTTATAAATAATAAATACCGGGCGTACTCAAGTTACTATAAATATTACAAAACAATAATATATATATTCTCACAGAACACAGAAGGATGAGGAAATAATATATTAACAAATGCAATACAAATCGATACTTCAAGATAACAAATCACAAAGCTATTAATGTTGCCCCCTTGGAGCATGACTTACGTATTATTTTCTGACTTATTATCCATACTGGTTTCCATAGCGTCTTGGCATTCTTTCAGTCGGGTTTCGAGTTCAGTCATTTTATTACGCACCCAGTCCATAGTCAGGTTGTCGACTGCCAGCTGGTTGGCTTGTAGATGTCCAGATGTGTCGTCCTGTACAAGCGCACCGTCGAATACGATTTCGGCATCATTTCGATCAGTCCTAAAACATAATAAGGAGATACATTTTAAGAATCTACCTACGGTTTCCCGTGGTTAAAATGAACAATGGTTACAGTCACCAACTTTTTTGTGTAATCATTATACTCTTCACATGGTTGTATGATATCCGTACACGATTCCATGCGTAAGCCAATTTGCACAAACTCTTCAGATGCTGGATTCCATTGAACAGCCAATTCGGTTAAAGCATTTTTCCTAAAAGAAAAAAGAAAAAATCTTTGGTTTTTTTTTAATAAATACGCTTTTTTAATCTCAATTTTTGAATAACATTGTTGTCGACTATATAAATCATACTAAATAATACCAATAAATCATACTAACCAATCAACTATGATATTTTCCAGCTCTTGTTGATGATGTTGCATAAATGCAGGCATCATCACTGTTTGGAAATCTTTTTTCGATTCCTGAGCTTCGGCAATCAATAAAACATACTCGTTATGTACTAGATGCAATCGCCGGCAAGCCCTTTGATATTTTTCTCGGACATCATCCAATTTTCTTCCACCTCGACCACCTAATTCGAACAATTACACTGTGAATAGTGATTTAATCTTAAAAATTAATATTCTTAAAAACCTGATAAAATATTATTATGCTTATGTACATACATATTGTTATGTAAAAACATATTTAAAACTATCATAAACTAATTAAAAATTTTAAGTATGTAAATAAATTCACTTTTAAAAAAATGTTCTTCAAATCTAGATCTCATAGAACGATAGGTTTCTAGATGTTTGGTATAATCCGCCTTTTTTCTTGCCAACTCGTCAACCAACTGAAAAACAAAATTTTAACTGTCATTAAAATATCATGTGTATGGATTCTTATCAAATAATAATTATTCCATTCAATAAAAAGTTGTTGAATCACTCAACAATTATTATCTCCGACTAAGAAGCTAATTCTCAATTACGTCTCAAAATCCACTAAAAAATTTCTCACATCAGACCACTAAGCAAAAAACAAATTCAAAGATTTACCTTCACATTAAATATGTTGAAAATATAAAATATAGAAACTTTACAAAAGTTTATAATTTTCAAATGCACAAGGAATTAATTTAAATTCAACTCTCGATTAGTAATATGTCTAAATAAATTAGTGTTATTGAAATTTCAAATAATTACATATTAATAAACACTTATATCATACATCAATAATTACAAGTCCGGTATATGTGTAGTATACCCAGAAATGTATAGAAGGGTATATATCCTATACGCTATATACCCATGAACAGTTTTTTTTTAAAGAAATACGTAAACGCAAAATCAAGTATTATGTTATAGGTTTATGGCAGCTATACGGTAAATTTACTGGTGGGAAAGGTAATTAATATAAATTGATTGTATTAATATACTATTATTTCAGTCAAGAGTCAATATTTTTTTACTTTAATTACATATATTTATCGTGTAAGATTCAATTTGGAAGTAAGCTAGTAAAATATAATGTATATCAGTATAACTTAGTCACATACTAAGTAAGTACAAAGTGGAAGAGTGGTAATTGTTTATGAGTAAAAAAAAAAAAAAATTTTTCTTGGTTTTTATTCGTAGAAAATGGCGTATACCCAACACATGTTTTACCAATATATCCATAATCATAGATACCTATTTATTTAACTGAACGTATAAATGTTTAGAAAAAGTAGAACACAATATCTAAATTGACAATAATTAAAAGAAAATTAATTAATTAATCATTGTATAAGTAAATCTTACGAAAACTCCATAATTTAATAAATAATGAATATACAATATACATGGTGTAAATGTTAAGTAATCCTATTTAATCAACAATCTTAATTGAGAACTACCCAAGCGATAATTAAATCGAAATTACTGCCTTAACATGCAAAAATAACAGCGATTTTCAATAATTTAAGAATAATATACTTGTAAACTAATCTTTATAGTACACGACATATAAATATAATTAAACGAAGAATATAAATGTAGTGAGTGATTAGTTTTTTTATCGCATGCAGAATAGTAACGAATAATTTATTCCCACCCAATGAAAATAACGGGATGACAAAGTTAATATTTAAATATAACTTTGACCTCCCACATATGTGTGTAGTATTAATATTATAAAATTACGTTTGCTGCAGATACGCATTTTGTTGACCTAATGAAATTATGTTTGAAATTTGTGCACCAAAAAATATTTCACTTAAATATATTTGTTTTTATCAACACTAATAACTAAATGAACTACTCTTATAATTAAGGATTATTGACAGTTGGAAACAGCACAATTATAAAATTAACGCCTAAACGATAATCAACACACTATAATAGAAATTAAAAACATAAAAGAACAGGACACATAAGTTAGAATAAATCATCAAAGAAAAAATATAAATATGCTATTAAAATTAATTACACTACACACTTATAACTAAATTATAATAATAGATACATTCGTTAAATACAATAATACACAACTAATAGCTATTAGAAACAATATTTCTTTAATTAAGTTTCATTCTAATAAACCATATTTTTAAATGATAGAAATAATAAGATGTTAAGTAGGCAAGTATCGACTAGTAGATACAAATTGATTTTATCGAGACAAATTTTTATTGAGGACCTAATGTCTTTAGAATAGTTCCATTAAATATTATTGAAAATATAACTGTACACAATACGATTTCATTAGTTATGAATTAATATAATTTATTTATATAATATGAAATAATAAATAAATTATCCATTGAGGCCAGTACAAATGTAAATTACTTCCATAGAAATATATGAAAGTAAAAATACAATACCCTTTAAACTGTTTTAGTGATTTACAAATAACATGTTAATGAAAACATGGAATACAATACAATCGTTTACGTACTAAAGACTAAGACTAAAGTCATAGTATATTTTATACTTTACATTCATATTATTATTTATTTCAATATTTTGGGAGTTATTATAATAAAAATTGGATAAACAATGTACGATCATAATAATTTACATTATTATAATAATAAAGATAATAAATATTTTGTACAGTAATTGTGATAATTTTTTGTATATTTTTTTATAGAAAGTATAGCTAAATTTTTGGGTTATATTGCAGATATCAATAAAATTAAAATCTGTAAAAATACATTGACGTTTAGAAACTTTAGTCACTAAATAATTTCAATGTTCTGTACTTACATAAAATCCCTCTTTTTACACCATCCCATTTGAACATTTTTATTCTTAGCAATTTACAGTCTATTTTCCTGAATAGTATGGAATGATATTTGAACATAATTTGATATTATTTAATGTAATTAATAACGATTTTTGTCTTACAACTCACCAATAATAAATATGAATTATAAAATTATGATAAAATAAATATAAAAAAAAATCTTAGTATTTTTAATCTTTGTTGATAATATATTTAATACTTATATAGTACTTATATAGTACGCAATATAAAATAATTATATTTTAATATACCTACAATAATTGCTGCACAAATAGAATGTCACAAGTCTACTTGGCACTTGTTTGCGTAGGTTTAAAAATAGAAATTTCGATTGGTTTATACGAATTTGTATTTTAACATATTAATATACGAATATATATATATTAATATATCTCGTACATAAGGAGATACGAGTGATACAAAATAAATTATAACGAATAAACGCAATGTCATAGGCGTAACTTGAAAATTTATTAGGGGGGGGGGGCAAAAATATAATTATATATCCAACGAAAATACATATTATTACATGAAATAATTAATTTTCTAACATTATGTTAGATAAGCGAAAATTTAAAATTAAGATTTTTAAAAAAAAAAATTTTATAGTAATAGCTATAATCAGCTGTTTTGTACTTATTTTAAAACATGATATGTTAAATATCAGAGGAGGCACTTTCCCTCCTAATTTATTCCAGGGGGCAATTGCTCCCCGTTGCCTCCCCAGTTTACGCCAATGCGCAATGTCGTATACATATACATAATTTGTATATATTGCGTTAATTTATAACAACCATGCATTATTGCAAACATTTAATATTTTAAAATAAATTAGAATTAAAGAAATAAGGTTTTAACTAAACGCTAATTCTGCCAAGATCTGTTTCATTATGCATACAATATAATATCAGCGTTTTCTATAACACTTTAATGAATAATACTACTAACAATATTATATACTGGTATGCATACAATAAACATTATCTGCGACCATTTACGTGACCGCATATTTGTGAAATGCAAAAACGAACGCAAATCGTGAACATATTATAATAAGTCTGCTGTGGGTGTGTAAACTCGAAAAAAAGGCAGAAGAAGAATAATCGAAAGTTTAACAACCGAAAAAAAACACTGCGGATTAGTCAACGCGTATCAACACGACGACGTCTGACGGTAAACGGGTATACCTACGTCGGCGGAAGACGCGTTTCGTCACGGTGCACGGAGCGCGCGCGCGCAAACGTCTAAAAATTGAACACGACGACGCCGACGACATACGAGCGATTCTTCTCTAAATTTAACCAGGTCGGCCCATCGCGTGTGCGCCCGAACAATATTATAATCGACTTGGCGCGGCAGTATTGGCAGTGCGTTGAACACATATTTTATACATAGTATGTGTATTGTATATAAATATTGTTATACATATACAAATAGGTACATAATAGTATTTTAATAACGTGTAATAATAATTTCATTAATCATGATAAACAAATAGATAACAAATCGTTGCGCGCATAATAACGAATAAAACAAAGGTGAAAATAACGACCGACTGCAGACTACAAGGTGCCTCTCGACGCAGCGGCGGCATCATGAACACGCGAGCCCAATGGCATTTCCGGAGATCATAACAATTTTTTTAGCGTACAGTGTTCGAGACCCCACACTACGGCACGCGCGCGCACGCACAGTCCCGTATGCTCACAGAAAGCGCACACACTTGACGATCGCTGTGTCACCGAATGGTCGCAAAAATCATAATTCATACGAGAAATAGCCGTTCTGACTACGGTGATCGACGGCAGCGACAACGACGGTAATAATGTAATTTAAATCGTCATCGACTTGAACGATATTGTACACATGATTATATATAATCATTGTTATTATTATTTATTTCTCGCGCACGGAACGTACACAAAAACACACACACACGAATACATATTTATATCTATATCGCGTACATATAGACCTATGCACATAAGTATATCTCATCTGAGGCATTATTTTTATTGAATACGACATAGACATCCCAGCAGACCCGTCTCCTATAGGAGAAAGACGAAGAAAAAATATAACAACGAGGTACGCGTACCATTATATGTATATACACACTACTGGCCTTGAACGTGGTGGTGGTGGTGGCGGCGGCGGCGGCGGCAGCGCACACACCTCGTTTGGACGCGGTCCCCATTGTTCCAGAGAACGAGAAAAAAAAAGAAGACAGAAACAGCCGCGACGGTAATGGCTACTAAGACTCTCTATATTATATTATTATTGTATACATACACGCGTACACCACATATAATATATAAATATAAATGTGTATTACAATACATGGTTATATAAGAGGCGAGAAGAGGAGAGAAACTGGAAGACCAATTTTCTGTCAACCTGAACCTCACCTAGCCATAATCGTTGTTGTTATTATATTATATTTTGTGTGTCCATAGGGACCCAAGAAGACTGGATGCCGCCGTCGATACGACCCGTCTGTATAATACGACGCATTTCCCAATAAACGGCAGAAACAATTCATGAAACGTACGGATGACGACGCAT